AGCACTAGGTTGCTGAAATTGTCATGCTTTGACCTGAATTGTCATGTTGTTATGTCCTCTTTTATCTCAATCTCTCCCTCATACATTAAAAAATTATTTAGTTATTGTTTTATTTTTTTAATTAAGGGGAAAAATAAAAAAATTAGCAGGATATATTATAGTAACTTTTTTGATTTCCTATTAACTTGATTTGAAGTCCTGTATTACTTCCACTATCTTGTTTTGACTGATTAGACTCTGTTCCGAACTGTTTGATAGTATCAAGTTTGAGGGTATAGGCAACTACTTTGAAGGCAATAAGATTCTCTATGATGCTCATTCTGGTTTGACTACTATCTTCTTTTGAAGTCCTGTAATGTTTACAATGTTTAGGTTCTATTGGTCTTGTTCTGTACCATTTTGTTCAACTTTACAATACCTAATGATATAGGCAATTCTTTTTAAGGAAGCAAGAAGCATTATGGTAATCATTGTTGATAATCTTGTACTCTGTTTTTACATCATGTACTATGTCTATCCTTGGTTTTGATTGACGCTTTGTTTTGTCATATTTGGTTTTATTCTCTTCCAAAATAAAGTAATAAGAACTATGGGAGTAATAAAACCCAAAATTTTGTTGTAAAAAAGAGAGGAAAAAAAAGTGCTCTAAAGGATACAACTGCAAGTGTGTTTAGGTGCATTAAGATAGATGACCATATTAATGTTTTTGTTGGATCACTGAACACAACTGTTTGCAGTCTCACTGTTTGAATGTCCACTTTGTATGCTTTGATCCTGTGACTTGAGCAACTATCTCTAAGATGATAATGTGTAATCTATTAATTGGTGATTTCTTACTGTATTTTTTGTAGTTCTGTATTACTTGTACCCTTACACTGTTTTGTTTCGTTTTTTTCTCTTTTTCCTTTTAAATAAAATTTTAAAAAAATGTGGATCCTAGCCTCTGCAGGGTGTTAGGAAGGCTTGAACTACTGAAAATGGCACATGGTGCGCACAGTGCGTTGCTTACCATAGGGCATCTACGGCAGTGATGATTCCAATATATGAATGTTACATTCTCCCACTCCATACCCAGTCGGTGTGGCCCACTAATGCCAGGCACTATGCCCTGGGTACACCGGGTGGAGGGGGCCCTGTCCCCACAGAGCCTGCAGCTTGGTGAGTGAACTCTGAGCAAGGAGCTCCTGACCCTGAGTCACTTGAAAAGCAGGACAAATGGTGGGGAGCACAGGAGGGAGAATGAGCTCACAAGCGTGGCCTCTCAGGTGAGCCGCCCCAGCCGGCCTGTGAGACTCTGTGAGTGCCTGAGGCACTCACAGAGATTTCCCACCCCGCAGGGAGAGCCAGAATGGCTTCCTCTTTGCCGCTTTCCAGATGCAGGAGGTGAGCTACAGCACTGCACGTGGACCCAAAACACAGAAGCACACTTCATGAGAGGAGAAGTGACCCTCTTGTCACCTGGGGAAGCAAATAAATGTGGACCCTGACGGCCAGTCTCAGTTCTGTGGTCAGGGTGAATGACCCAGTTTGACATTTGCTCACTCCAGAACTCCAAGCTTCTTGCATCCTCAGAAATGTCACCTCTGGGAACAACAGTAGGGCAGGGGGCAAGCGTACTTATTTGACTGAGCCTCACAGGGAGATGACAGCTAGCACACACTGTGGCCCAGCTGGCTTCACAGGGAACCGAAGGTGCCCTCCATGCACTGCTAAAGAGCTGCACAGAGGTAGGATGTGGTCAGGCAGTGGCCTCCAAGTGCACAGTAAGTGATCCAAGCTTGACTTAGGGCAAGAGGTGGGAGCTGATGGTCAAGAATTCCAAGGCCCCCTGTCCTGAGTCTGCTCGTTCTGGGAATCAGCCACAGCCTGGGGATCTGGTTGGTGCTGTGCCATGGGAGCTGGGCTTTCTAACCTGGTGCGGACAGGTGGCTACAGTCTGCAGGGAACCGCCACCCCTAGGGGGCTCTCCTGGGCCGGTTGCGGTTTGGCAGTCCTGTCTCAGTCATGCTCCTTTTTCAAATCTTTGACCAAACTCTGGATCCCAGGTACCTGCATAGATGATTGGGGTCCCTATTTCAGATTCCATGAATTCAGTTGTCAGGGGTTAGGTGGTTGTCAGTGGCCCCCTTCTTCCAGGTAGCTCAGGCACAACGCCACCCCATGATCAGAAGCATGCTGCCGCCACCTAGTGGCCCCCAAGGCTGCACAACCTGCCTGAGCCTTGGAGTCAGGGAAGGTGATGCTTCGTAGAGAAATGGATCTATGAATTTACTGCCTTATTAATCAATGAAAAGGTGGCGCTCATCTGGGGCTAGGAGCTAAGCAGTTAGGGTGACTGACCCTTCTCACCTCACATGGCTCACAGGGAGAGATGCAGAGCAGACTTAAATCCCAGCTGCCGCCCAGGACATGGAGAACAGGTTAGGGAAGCTGTGGGGAAATGGAATACTGTGTGCAGCAGTGGGGAGGGAAAACAGTGCAGCCACTTGGAAAACAACAGCGTGGCAGGGCCTTGAGAGAAAAAGCAGAATTGCTATGGGATCCAGCAATTCCACTTCTGGGCGCATATCTCAAAGAACTGAAAACGGGGTCGTTAGAAGGTATTTGTGTATTTTCTCATAGTGGCATCTATCACATAGCTAAAATGTAGAAGAAACACAAGTGTTCATGGACAGATGAACGGAAAGGCAAAAACATGGTGCACACAGATGATGAAATATTTAAAAAGGAAGGACATCCTGATATGCTACAGCATGGATGAACCCTGAAGACATTATTCCTGTTGAAATAAGCCCATCACAAATGCATCATGAGTTTACAGATAGGAGGTGCCCGCGGCAGTCAAATTCAAAGGCAGGAAGCAGGATGGCCGGTGCCAGGGCCTAGAGGAGGGGTTATGGGAGCAGAGTTGGTTGTTCAGTGCATACAGTTCTCTATTCTGCAAGATGAAGAGACTTCTAGAGACAGATGGCAGTGATGGCTGCATGACACCTTAAGGGACTTATCTCAGAAGCACACGCTGAAAAATGGAGAAGACAGGAAGTTAAAGGCATCCATTCAATGGGGCAGCCTAAGCTGTGATGCTCACATAGTGACATGTGTGGAGAACAGAAGTTATCTATCTACCCTCAGCAATGAAACCATAAAGGGTCAGGTGACAAATGAAAACCCAGAGACCAGTGGCCAGGATATAGGGCTGTTCCAAGCTCTGTTGTTATGTGACTTGAGCACGTTCCTTGCACCCTGGCCCTGGTGTCCTGTGTGGGTACTTGTGACACTTGCCTTTCTAAGGTCTCCTCCAGCCCTAACAGCCTCAGCAGCATCTCACCTCAATCACAGCTGTCACTGAGCTCGAGGGACTGTCCCTGAGGGCTGCTCCTCACTTTTAGTCTGCCCATCTTTCCTGGATGTGGGTGCTTGCACTGAGCTGACTGCAAGCAAGGTCTCTGCGTTGGGTACACTGCTCCAGAAAGGGCCAGGCTGGCAATGCTGAGAAAACACCAGCAGATACGCCCAGAGTCGAGAAGCTAGAGGAGCAGGGCACTGTGAAGCCCTGGCCTGCTTCCCCTTCCTCCAGGAAGCCCTCCTGCTGCAAGCTAGCTCCTTGTCATCTGTATCTCCTGGGCTCCAAGCAGCAGTCCTGCTTGGGTTCAAGCTGGGCCTTGGGGCCTTGCAGGCTCTACATGGTACTTGCTGACTCAAAGAAACCTCATTGGCCCTGTTTTGGGGCAAATGAGAGACAGACAGGAGGGGTCTCCATGGGAGGTGTGCCCCAGTGTGGTCACTCCCAGTGTGGTCCCCTGCGAAGTGGACCTCACTTTGACCATAGTCTTTTGGTGCTACTGGATTATAACTGGAAAGGGCCCAGGGGCTGGCTTTCTGGGAGGCTGTGTTGGATGACTAGAGTGCAGTAGCCAGGGTAGCCAGGGCCTTGGCGGCGGCGGGGGGGGGGGGGCAGATACGGAGCCATGAACAGGATCAAGAGGACAGCTACAGAGCAGTGAGGCAAAGTATGGGTCCCGACACCTGGGATACATATGTGAAGCCTAAACCTAACCTTAACCCTTACTCATTCCTAGCTCTGCCCCAACCCTGCCCTTACCCCTAATCGTACTTGTAGCCCTGCTCCTACGTTACTCCTACTCCTAACTCTACCTCCACCCTTACCCCTAATCCTAAACTTACCCTCACCTTCCCTTTATCTTCCCTTAACCCTAAGCCTAACCCCAGGACTGCAAGCTGGCGGGGATGGGGTAAGTTGGCTCAGTTATCACACAGGTGTGACAGTGCCCTTGGCTGTTCTGGTATGCTACTGACTCTGTGCTCAAGGCTCCAGACATAGTATACTTTCAGAGCAAGCCACCAGGGCAAGCAAAGGTGTGCAGGGCCATCTATCTTGGAAAGGGACAGGACCCTGAGCGCTGAACACAGGGAATCCAAGCTCTCTAATTTAGCTGTAGCTAAAGCTTCTAGTTTGCTGCTAAAACACCCAGCAACACTTTGTGTTTGCACCCAAAGCACCCAGCATGTTCCAAAGTGTTTATAGACACCTAGGAAGGTCACCCAGGCCAGCTCCCAAGCCCCTGGCCAGTGTTGCAATGATGTGTCTGACTACCACAGGGTAGGGGTGGGAGGACAGAAGTCTGTGCTCCTGTGTGACCCTAGGGTTTGTATCTGTTCCTCTCTGGTCTCTGAATCTCCACATCCCTAAAGGACTCCTGGTTCTCAAGTGCACTAAGAGGGAGCTGCAGGGCACTTAGAGACCGCTTTGGCCCTAAAACAAATTTTATGCTTCTTTGAGTTCCAAACAACTGTCACTTCAGACAAGATACTGTGGCAGTGACAGGTATATAGTCTGTGTCCAAAACTTATTGAGTGGGCTGACGTGGGCCTCTGGTTCTGACAGGTCAGCATCTCTAGTCTCTGTGGTGCCTCTCGGAGGGCTCCTGGGAAACCACGAGCCACCCAAGTGCTCTCTGCATCCCAGGTGTGGTGCCTACCCTTCTCTTTGGTATTCCTCGTCCAGATTTGACAGAAGCTGTGATCCTGCTGTGGACAGGTCGACGGCAGCCAGGGGCAAGTCTCGATAGGCAAAATTCACGAGCTGCACAGGAGCAAGGCTCTTGGTTTCTTCTTCAACTTGTTGGGAGATGATCTCGACTTCAGAAATTCCTCCTGCAATGGCAGGCCTGGAAGGAAGACAGGAAAGGTTGGGCTCCAGACCAAGGTTGGGCTTCACTTCCTCGAAAAGATGAGATGGAAGCATCGGAATCCACTGTGCAGGAGAAACACAAGGTTGTCACACATGTCCCACTGGAATCCCCAGGACTGGACCAACACCTTGACCAGTGCCCTCTTCACAGGTTGGGGAAGTAAGGGAAGAAGAACTGCTCAGGTCTGAACATAAGAACTCTGGGCCAGAACCTTTTTCAGGGGGAAGCAGAGGCACAGATGACAACTGTCAGGCCACGGCCTAGACTTAGGACTCTGGGTCACTGCATTTTATGCTGGAGTGGATGCTTTTAAGTCATCTCATGGTCCCTTGAAATATGCCTGTCAATCGTCCGATGACAGAGAAAGATGTCTTGGCTCACCACTGGGGTATACTGGTAGCCAACCTGGAGGGACCTCGGGGGCCTTGGGAGGGGAAGACAGCTGGAGTTGCTGCTCCCGTCCTGTCAGAACTGGCGCTGCTAGGTTGCCTTTTCTAGAGTAGGAAGTGGGGTTCATTTGGTCAGATGTCTGCAGCATCCTTGGTCTCCTCCTGTGTCACAACAGGCTCACTTTGGGCACTGAAAATAACCCACAACTCCCCTGGCACCACAAGATATCCCAGCCAGGGGCAGTGCCACCTCCTGACCACCAGGGGTGCTTGGCAGTCACTGCTGACAGTGCAGATGACTGGGTCCACTCTGGGTGAGGTGGCCCTAAAGTACTGACATCTGAACAGTGTGGGGACATCACAGACCCTGTGGTGTAGTTAACACCGCGCATTGTCCTGTCCCAACACCAGCAGAACCCTGGCTGGGTAATTTTGCTTTCACTCCCTGCTATCTTTGGTCCTTCCCCAATCCTCTACCTCATCTCCTCTTGTCGAATCTGGGCCTGGGTCTTGTTCTGCTAGCCAAACAAGGAACATTAGAAAAGAAAATAGCATGAGTGGGTAACAGTAAAATTTAACTATTTGAAAGAACATGTTGGGTTGGTGTCCTGGGTAATGAGACTCAGTTCTAAGACAGAGGCAGCAGTGCAGTCTGCTCAAAAAAGGTCAGTGCCAGCTCTAAAGCCACCTTCTGTGGGGCTCCTCCTGGGCCTCAGTTTCTTTAGGTGAAACTCTGGAAAGTTATTAGAGGCTGCCTGGAAGACAGTCCTTCTCACCCTATGGTATGAGATGGGTAGAAGTCTGGAGCTGGTCAGAGCAGCTTTGGTGCAACAAGCCCCCCATGTGGATGGGGACCTCTAGGGGGAAGAATTTTCTAACAACCACTGAAACCTAACCAGCAACACAACACAACAGCCCTCAAGACACTCCGAGCTGACTCTACCTAACTTTCTTTCTCTTGGCTCATCCAGATAATAGAGGGGAAAATGGAGTTTTTATTTGAGTACCACGGGGGGGGGGGGGGCTGCCTGTACTACCTGAGCAATTCCTTGTGGCTCAGATCCCTTTAGTAGGCTGTGGTTAAACCTTTGCTTTTTGCTACCTGTCAAGCATAGATAATAGCACTCATCACTGTGTGATATTTACAAAATGACTCAAGATCCTCAGACAGAACAGAGGATATGCAGCTTCTGTGTTTCTCAACGATTGATAGGAAAGTGTGGGTGTTTACAGGGGGAATCCCAGCTCCTCCAGATGTTCCCAAAAAAGTACATGCTGGGCTGAATGTGCTGTCTTTTCTTGGGGACTGTTCAAGGAAACTAGGAATTTCTGAGCTGAATAAACAGAATGTTCTAATCAGTGGGGAGAACTCAAGGAGGGTGGAGCAGGTTTCTGAGTTCCATAAAATATGGCTCTGAGAAGCACAGAGCAAATTACTTCTGCCTTCCTAACTTGCCAGCCTCCCAGTCACTTTCTGCCAGTGGCCACAGTTTCCCATCTCTGTTCTCAGTCACACAGCCATTTCCACAGAGAGATGAGGTGAGGCCTCCTTTGGTGGGAATAAAGGTTTTACAGATCATGGCTTACGTACTCTCCTGGGTGAGGGTCAGTGTGGTTAACAGAATGTATTAATGGTTCCCCTTCCTACCCCTTCCTGAACCCAGGCCTTTTCTGTAAGACTTTGCTGCTCCCCTCATCAGTAGAGTCTGCCTCCAGTCATGTGACTTGCACTGGCCAATAGGATGCTGATGGATATGACCCTCACAGGGCGTGGTAGACAGTGGTAAATTCTGCCTGGTTCTTGCACTCCAGTGTCAAATCAGAGGGGTTCAGCATGGCTATGAAGGAAGAGTAGAGCCTAGTCTCAGCTACATTGGCTTACAGCCAGCACAGCTTCACCTCAAAGGTGACCCCAGATGAGATCGGCAGAGCTATCTAGGTGGTTAGTCCAGACATGTGAATGACATTTACTGTTGTCTGTTACTGAAGCTGGCTGCCCCCAAGCACTACAGTGGTTATATGGCTTCGTTATGCATGGGTTTAAATAGCCAGGCCCCCAAGGGCCTAGGGCCAGATAGGCCAGGAAAACATCATATTACAAACAGACTGTTACTCTCATCTTAGTAGCTTTTTGCCAAACGATTCCAAACAAAAATAAATCACCACCTGGTTACATCATGCTGGTACTTGGAAGATAAAGTGCTAGGTCCACATGGTGTCTTAGGTTTGGGGAACTGGAGGCAAGGCTCCCTCAAAAGCTCTACCCTGGGTTTCATAGAATCTTCTTTTAGAAATCTTGTCACAATTTTTAAATTTCCTTGCAATGCCTTTTGGCTCATTCATTCCAGGTACTTCCTAATGTTTTGAGTTTGTTTTTGAAAGGTTCTCCCCATTTTTGTGGCCTCTTGTAATGGAATTGTGCACAGTAATTGCCTAAATCAGCAGGACCTTGTCTCCTGGGAGATTGATGGTGACATTCCTGACACAGAGCAGGTCCCATAGTACTCACTGTGGATCTGTCATGTTGAAAGGCGCCACCAGGGCCATGGGCTTCCTGGTGTCTAGCAAGGCTCAGCTGTCCTGAAGCCTGCTGTCAGCATTTCCGAGTGTGATTTCCATAAGACACATACAAAAATAGTGCCCTGAAAATAAAAATAGTAATTTATTACCTTCAGATACAATCCCGAGTTCTCCTAAGCACATCTAAAATTAGAACTTTTTCTCATTTTTTTGCACAGTAATGTCAAATACATTCTCCTGATAATCCAGTAGAGGAGCAACAATACACACGAGTCATCTTCTTGTTAAAAGATGAGAAGATAAAGTAATTTCTTTTTCCTCCCTCTCTCTTTTCCTTTCACTTCTCTTTCTCTTTTATTCTCCTTTCCTTTCTTTCTCACTCCCTCTCTTTTTTGGTATTACTGGGGATTGCACCCAGGGCCATTGCATTATGCTACATTCCCAGCCCTTTAAAAAAATTGTTTTTATTTTACTTTTTGATTTTTTTTGTTTTGTATTTTTTTTGTACCAGAGATCGAACTCACGACCTCATGCTTGGCAGGCAGGCACTTATGCCACTGAACTAAATCCCTAGACCCCAAAATTGTTTTTATTTTGAGATGAGGTCTTGATAAATTGCCTGGGATGGGTTTGAATTTGTAATACACCTTCTTTAACCTCCTGAGCTGCTGGGATTATAGGCATGTGCCACCACACCCAGCTCAAAAATCAGTGACTTTTCTGTGTCACACTGAGATAGTAGAAGGAGCAAGTTAGACCCTCAGTTTTATGACTTCTTATCCACAGTACTTTCCACCAAGTTGCTGTGGCCCCAACCCCAGCATAACTTGTAGTCTGTCTCTTTATTATTCTAGACTTTTCTCTGTGCCTCTCAACTGGGTCTTCAATGAGAGGCAGCAAAGTGGCTAAGAGGGCCGACTCTGGAGTGAGACTGCCATAGTTACCCCTTCTGCCCTCAGCTTCCCCATGTGTAAAATGGGGACAATACTAGAACCCAGGGACAGACTGCATGTAAGGGACTTAGAATAGGGCTTCATACATACCAAGTACAATATCAGTGCTGGCTTCCATTATCATAAGTGTAATGTTTTCAGAAATTAAAACTGCATAGAATGTTGAACCCAAACTCATTCCAAAGTATCTGAATGGCTGAATATAAGATTGTAACCTGAAGTTTGACCTCGGTAATGCAAAATACTTTTCCAGCCAACTCAACAGTGCCACCCAAAAGTCCCCTGGGAGATGACACAACCCAGCAGACAAAGCGAGGGAGCCTGGTGTACATGGCTGTGAACAAGTTTTAAAAAGGTAACTCAAAGGTACAATCCTGTAAACTGCATTCTACCACAAACTGCTGTTCTTCCAAGCAATCAATGTAGGATAAAATTCTTTCTCCCCTTGGGTTGGAGAGACAGTTCAACCAGGGAGATAGGGACAATGGGATAGTTTACACAGGCAAATCACTGCAGGCTTTGAAAGTCCAGGGGATAGGATGTCAGTGTGCCAAGCTCTGTGTAATGAAGAGGAGCTAATGATGGCGGAGGAATCTGGGAAGGTCTGAATTTAGAGCCAGTAAAAAAAAAGGAGAGGAGGCATTCTAAAATCAGAAGCAACTCAATTCAGAAAGCTACCAACATTTCTACACCAGACGTTTGTAGTGGTAGGAGTAAAAAAAAGCATAGAGTCAAGGCAACATTAGGGACAATTTGGCCTTGCTAAAGGTTCAGTGGACCTCAGGCAGAGGGTCTAAACATTAAACACAGAACTCTCCTATGTAGGATTTGGGGTTGCATATAACTACATAGTAAATATTGCACTATTATCCATTCCATAATGCATATTTAACCAATCTCATTTTTGTTGCTGTTGTTCTCTTCATATATTCTCAAGTTAATAGTCTTCCAGGTATTAAGATGGGTCACATGCATCATCTAACCTCCACAGACAGTAAAGCCAGGATTGAGGTCCCAGGACTGGAAGCCAGTGGGCAACGTCCCCTTCTAGATACGTGTCTTAATGAGCTGTGCTCCCAAACCAGTATTTGATATGTGACACCAGACACTAGCCCTGAGAAGGGCCTTTCATTCATGGACCTTCCAGTCCAGCTGAGCAGATTTAAAACACAAAACTCCAAACTTTCTGGACCCCCTAGCTAGCGAGGAAAAAGTAAAAATTGATAAACCTATACTTAAAAATAATAAACACAAACTACTGCATTAATATGTTATATCCAACATAAAACACATGCAAAGACTAGAAATAAAAATGATGAGAAATAGTTTAATTTCACTTTTAGGAAGGAAAATTTCAAATACACAGAATTGTACAGAATTGTGTAATGGACCTCCAGTTCCCCACTGTCCAACTCCAACAGTTATCAGCTCTTGACAGTCTTATCTTCTCCATATCTCTGCCCATTCCCTAACCTTCATGATTATTTTGAAATAAATCCTAGGTATCACCTCATTCATCTGTTCAACATGTAGCTCTAAAAAAGTCTTCTGATGAAAGACAATCACAGGACTGTCATCACCCCCAAGTCAACTGCAGTTTCTCAATACCATTAAATAGCCAGAACATTGTTCTCATTTCCCTATCTGTCCTATAATCTTTTAGATGCTTGTTCAGTCTGGACCCAAACAAAGCCCACAGACTAGGATTGGTTAACATGACCCTTAAGTCTCATTTAATCGATGGGATTTCTCTCCTGTCTCATTTTCTTGGATGACATATTGGAAAAATGAATCTCAGGTTTCCATGGTCTGGATGGTATAGTTTAACATGTTCCTCGGTCCTCTATTTTTCCTGTAAAGTCTATATAGACTTTAATTAGCTTCAAATTCATTTTTGGGGGCAAGACTTTATTGGTGGTGTCACAACTATCTTCTTGGCACTCTTTTCATGATACTGACAACAAATGATGATCTTGTTCTAAATCCATCCATTCATTGGAGTAAAATGCTGACATTTAAATTTCATCATTCTTTATTAATAAGTTGCTATAAAGACAAACTTTCATCAATAATTTGATAAACCTAGGGTATAGTTCATCTAGGGAAAGAAGCATAAAATCTCAATGTCCTCTTTTTTAGTTACTGGTTTTTATAATGATGACTCAATAGCTTGTCATCTTCCAAAGTGATTGTGAGGCATCTGCTGTTGTTATGCAGCACCCCTGATTCCTTCACTCACTCTCCAGGGTGTATAGGGAGCAGTGTTCCTGGAAACTGGCAGTGGTTTCCTAGAAAGGACAGATGGACCCGGGAAAGACGTCTCCAGAACAAGGACAAAGATAAGGGATGGATGATGGGAAAGGTCACCTTTAGATAATACAGTAGTTAAGTAACTGCTTCTGCTGGAGGTTTGATTCCTAACAAGCTGCACAGTGTAGAAGGTCACCTTAAGATGATGGGAATACTTAACCTGGATGTTACTTAAAAATAATATTTTCCAAACAAAGCCATCCCTATAGCACTAGGCTAGCACAAAGCAGGTGTTGTCTAGCACTCTATAAATGAACATCTGAAGTACAAACCTTCTGCCTCAGCAACCTGGTAAAAGGCAAAGCAAAATCTGTTTTGGATTTGCTAGGTCTGGTGCTGGCAGATGGAGAGGATGCTTAAGAGACCTGACTAAAATCTCAGTCTCTTCTATCTGTGACTCATGCATCTCTCTACCAGCATCATGTTTGCTTGTTGCATCCAGAACTGCAGTTTGACCTTTCTCAGCTGGTGTCCTTGAGATTTTAGGTCCTAAGAAGTCTGCTAAGGACAAGCACTTTCCTCACCCTGTAGTGGACAAAGCTAAAACTCAGCTCTATTGTCCCTGGAGGACCCCAGGTCTATTTCTTAAGCCTTACTCAGCTGACAGCCCTTAGATGCCTGCATGTGTCTGTATGTACAACCATTTCACTGGTTCCCATGTCTGCTTTTACTCAGATCTTTTGGGGGACACAAATTAATTTATATACTACATTGCAAACGTGAGCAGAGGTGGGGTCTGAGACATATTAGTGCTCCCATATTTCTGACAGGAGCCACTGTGTGTGACTTTAGATTTGTGGTTCTCAAATCTTCTCATCCACCTTGTTCTTGGGTTGGGGGGCATTAGAGACCAGATTTCTGGGTTCATCCACGAAATTTCTAATTGAATATGGCTAGGGTGGGGGCCTGAAAGTGGACCTCTAACAAGTTTAGAGAATACAAATTTGTTGGTGTGGTGTCCCACACTCTGATCTGTGAATCGGAAAGTTTGCTGGAAGTGAGGTAGATATTGTATTTCTCCTTTGCAGAGGAAGTTAAATTCCTACAAAGCTACTTGAGTGGAATTAGCAGCAGAACCTAAGATGGCCAGGCTGTAGAACCAGAGAGGGAAGGACTTTTAGGAAGCTTTTGTTTGCAAGACACAAAATGTCTCATGGAAACTAAAGGGAAGAAGGTTGTTACTATGTTTCCTAACAGGGGAACTGAGGAAAGAAGATTCCGGGACTAGAGTTGTGGCCAAAGGATACCATCAGGATACACTGTTTTTTCCCTCAGCTTTCTTGAGTATGACTGACAATCAAAGTTATATATCTAGAGTACAAAGCATCTTTTGAGCTGGTGCAGTGGTACATTAAGTGGAACCTTGCTACTTAGGAGGCTAAGGCAAAAGAATTGTCTGAATCTAGAAGTTAGGAGCGTGGGCAACACAGCAGAAGTGGAGCTGAGAAACAAAGAGTGGAGAACCTCTGGGAAGATGTTAGAGCAGTAACTACCAACAAATCAGTCTTCTGGGATCTGGAACCAGGAAAATAATAACCTGGGAGAGAACAAAAAGAAGGGAGCTAGAGTCTCAAGAACAGGAAAGATGGGATGACTGTGAGAAATTGAAGAGACAGAATGCAATGCAGAAAAAGGTATGAGCGATCCATACTTCCTCCCTGGCTTACACTTGTGAGAAGGAGAGCAGATTCTATAAGAAACACAGTGGAAGGGTTGGGGTTTCTCCAAAAGCCTTCAGGGGAAAATTCAGTGCCAAAAAGACCAGGGGATGTAGTGAGCTGCCGCACCCCCTTAAGTGAGTGCTCAGATGTATACCACTGAGTGGCAGACTGAGCCTGGACTTGCAGCAGCTTTATATT